TTCTTTCTGCTGTTGCTGTTCTTTGGCTCTTTTTATTTGTTCTTCCTGCACACACAAGAAATACTCAATTTTCTTCAGATCTTCCTGCTGTTGCTAGATTTCAGTCAAAGTAAGAGTTTTACTGCTCTTGCAACACAAAAAGGTCATACAAACGCCGATGATTTTAGGTGTTACAAAAGAAGTACAAACACAACTGAGGAGAGATAGGATGACAGATGATTGAGAAGAAGGAGCAAACCACATCAGAGCATCCGCCAACCACCAACATTGTTGTTGCTGTTCTTAGGCTCTTCCTAATTGTTCCACATGTCAAAACAAGAATTATTACTTTATTTTCCTGTTCTTTACGTTGTTGGTGTTGCTGTTCTTTGACTCTTTCTAACTGTATTAGAAAAGAACATAATAATTGCTTTTATACTGTGCATTTCCACGTTTTACAGCATGCTCTATGCCTTTTTCAACATTATTACCCTTGCAGACTTTAGAACACTCAGAAATATTCTCGGCTTCCTTACACAAGTACAACCCCCCCCTCCACAGAAGTTCAAGTGTACTTCTTTGTCACTATCCACTTATATACCATATGATTATGGGCAACTCCATGACCTAGTGAGGTATTTTTTGTTTTGCTTTTAAAAAAATGTTATTGTGAACAAAAGGTATATTTAGCACGGCGAGGGTTATGAACAGATACCTCCACATATAACGCATTTTTAACTTCAACAATATTCAGAAATTAAATTTCAAGCTCCGCTGAAGTGTCCTTGGTCGATCCTCTTCCTCTTACCTGGTTGGCCAGGTTGTAGTGTCCTTTCTGTCGGGCCAGGGTGAGGGGCAAGAGGCCATCTTTATTGCACATCTTCAGAGGCGAAGTGTTCCAGTGATACAGGGTCAAGGCTGCGTCAATACGGCCTAGAGCACAGGCCCACATCTGAGGAAGACACAGGTCAGTAAGTTTCAGTTAGAGCTTTATGGCATTTGCAATATAATACGGTCATATAAGTGCCGAAGATTTGAGATGTAACAACTGAGTAACAAACACAAAAAAGAAGGTGCAGAGATAAGGACAATAAATGTCTTTGTTTAGTTTTAGTAGAGGTTTTACGGCGCTCGCAACTGCATAAGGTCATATGAGCACCAGAAGAATAGAGGTGTTACAAGAGAGGGAATAGGAAAGAAAGAGCAAACCACACCAGAGCACCCACCAACCACCCACTCAGGGCGATTTAAAAATAGAATAGCACTACAAAAACAGTACACTGTGTTCTGACTGAATGTCTCTTTCTGCATATAGGTCATTGATGTAAAAACAAAAATGACGTTAACTATGATTAAAAAACAGCTCTGGGCGCTTTACAAATACAATAGTGACACAAAAACAGACACTCTCTTCTGACCAAAAATCTCTCTCTATATATATCTCAATGACCTAAAAACAGAAATCACTTAAAACGGAAGTGAGAGCAGTTCTTACCAGTGGTGTGCAGGCGTGACTGTCCACACTCTGGGCGTCCACCTCAAACTCCAGGACCACGTTGCTGTTCTCGCGCCTGGAGGAATAAAAAATACAGAAAAGAACTGTAACTTCAGGAACAGTTTTACCGCACTTGCAACACAATAAGGTCATATAAGTGCCTAAGATTAGAGGTGTTACAAAAGAGTAACGCACACATAAAAAAAAGTGGGAGGGGGGGGGGAGACACAAGGACGTCAGATGTTGGATAGAGAAGGAGCAAACCACAATAGAGCAATCGCCAACCACCCACGCTTTAACTTTTCAGCTACTCAATACAACTTGCATATTTATCACCACCAACTATAACAAACAATGATTAACAAAAGAAAACAAAGACTTATTATTCAACAAATGTTAACCATCAGGTAGTAATCAACAAAACAAAGGACAGACACAAGACCAGCAATCAACAAAGGACAGACAAACACAAGCAGCAATCAACAAAGGATCACAAAGAAGATAGTGAGCAACAAAACAAAGGACAGACAACGCAAGATTAATAAAAGACAGACAAACAAGTAGCTATCAACAAAGGACGGACACACAAGCAGCAATCAACAAAACAAAGGGCAGACACACAAGAAACAAAGAACAAAACAAAGGGTAGACACACAAGAAACAATGAACAAAACAAAAGGCAGACACACAAGAAACAAAGAACAAAACAAAAGGCAGACACACAAGAAACAAAGAACAAAACAAAAGGCAGACACACAAGAAACAAAGAACAAAACAAAGGGCAGACACACAAGAAACAAAGAACAAAACAAAAGGCAGACACACAAGAAACAAAGAACAAAACAAAAGGCAGACACACAAGAAACAAAGAACAAAACAAAGGGCAGACACACAAGCAGCAATCAACAAAACAAAAAATACAGACACACAAGGATCAGAGCAGCACTGTACCTCCACTTGATGAGACAAGAGATAAGCTTGGCCAGCCCCAACCCCGCGGCAAGGTGCAACAAGGTCAAGTTGTGCTGGCCGGCCTTCGGGTACAGCTGACCCTGACACCACGGCTGGCTGGACATGGCCTGTACCTGGTGCACCAGACTCGACTCCAGGCTCTCAAGGTCATCCGAGATTGGGTCCTGGAAGATCGACATAAATAGCATCACATTCAATGATTTATTCAGCCCCTTGGAAGCAAAAGTGTCTAAAGTTTCAAATTTGTCGAAATTTAGGAATCAAAATGGCA